AGTCGCAGAAAAAGTTGCTTTAGCCAGCTTAGGAGCGTGCTGCGTATTACAATACCCTTGCCCTAGCCCCCTTTGCTTTTCCTGACCTCTTCTGTTTGCCGAAATCCATCAGGGTGTTCCATTGTGGGCCCCGGAGACTCCAGAGCTGCGGCTTTCCGTCATGGCGCCGTGGGTAGCTGGCCAGGAGCCAGATATTGGGCTGATCCCTCGGCCGTGTACCGGCTATCCGGAACTAACCCGGGCGATTTTGTATTGTGACGGCGTCATGCGCAGCTGACATGAGTGCATGTGCAGTAACGGTGCGTCTAGTGCAAGTGCACTTGCGCAGGCGCAGGATTACCTCCACTACTTTGTCCATATTTTTTCGCTTCCTTTCTCAGGGACTGCAAGGGCATGTCATGTGTGAGTGCAGTTGCAGTCAATCAGCGTCTAGTGCAAACTCCACCGGGAGCATATTCGGCAATCTCTCCTCTACTTGCCCTTGACCCATGACGACCGCGAGCGGTCACACTTGCCAGTTTGGGTTTTGCCTTTACTGTGTTTGTGCAGCCATCGGCTGCCGCTGCCGCCGCTGGAGCAGATGTGCCCCTTTGGACATCCGCAATTCTCAGCATCGATGCAGCAAATGACCCAACCGGGTACGCAGGGCGCGCCGCCACTGCAGTTAGTACAACAGATGTTGCCCGCAACAGTGGCAGGTGAACCAGCAACCTCCCACGGCAGATATGGGCGAATTGTTCCTTACAACGCAGCAACCACGGCAACAAATGCTGCAACAGCCAATGCAGCAAGCGATGCAGCAACCAGTGCAGCAACCGCTGCCACAAAACGATGCAACAGCCAGTGCATCAAGCAATGCAGCAACCTGTGCAGCAAGCGATGCAACAACCAATGCAACCAACGCTGCAGTTGCTCATGCATCAGCCGATTCAGCAGACAATGCAGCAAGTGAGGCCACAACCAATGCAGCAGACAATGCAACAGCCCATGCATCAGCACATGTTGTTTGCTCGGCCTTCCCCCTGCATGGCACCATCTTCGTTGCCTTCGGAACAACCAGCAACTGGTTGCACAACGATGCCAACATGCCTGCCTCATCCGATGCCACAACAGCATGTCTGGCACGAAACATCAATGGCTCCACCACAGCGGGGCCTGCACATCCACCACTGGGGAGAAGCAGCCCCCGCACAAAGCATGCCCCCGACATGCCTTGCAGGTGTTGCACAGTTGCAGCATGCATGCAAACGCCTGCGAACATCACACCCCACCCCCCACATGTCATGCCCGCGCCTGCACCCCCCGCACACCCAACCACTCAGTCAGTACAATCGCCTCAAACAGCCGCCCCCACCACGACCACCACGGGAACACCTACCACAAGCATCCCAACACCCACGGACCCCAGCACAATTACTGTCCATCTACCCCAGCCGTTAACCAGGTGGCCTCAACACAGTCCACAGCTCCTTCAACGACAGCAGCTTCGGACAAGCAGCAGTCAAAGCAGCCGCGATCCAGACGCGGCTCGCACACGAGGAGCCGCCGTCGTCGGCGCCGCCGCCGCCACTGCAGAAGCATTAGCCGTCGTCGCAGCAGAACAAAAACAAAGTCCCCACGACGCCACCGGCGAATAGACAGCAGAGGCTCCACCCCACATCGGGAACGCTCCAGTCACTGTGAGCGCCTCATACTACCCAGTTATTCCAGCTTGCGGCTGGATGATGATGTTGCGGAAGCTGCCAGACGCAGCAGCGATCGGAAAAAAAATTGCAGCCGGAGGGGATGACCGGTGGTCTTATCGTGCAGCCCAGCGGCGATACCCAACACCACCACTGACCACCACCACCCCCCGCAGCACCAAGATCCACCAGACCACACAACACCGCAAACACACCAGGAACCACCACACCACACAGCATTGCAAACATACCAAGCGCGCTTCAGACGCAGATTTAAGGAGGGTGGCAGACCAACTGCGGCAAGGCCGTGAGCAACGTTCCAGTGAAGTTCAAGTCCGCCCTCCCAAGAGCACAGCACCGGCACACGAGAGCCGGGCAGCACCAAGCATTTCAAGAAATTCCCGCAGCGGCAGCGAGGGACAATCGCAGGCCGCCACAAACAAACACTTGTACTTCCGGTGGCTGAACTTCCAGCGGATCAACGTCAACGACCTGAGAGCTTTCTGTGAAGCAGTGCACGGTTCAGGCTCTAGAGAGATGTGTGCAGAATTGAATGCTTAAGTTTTCAGCATAAGCGACGGGTACATCAGATGTTGCTGATACCGTGGCTCGGCGAAGAACGAGTCCGTTCATCCACACAAGGGAGGAGATGGAACAATCCCCCAGTGCCGTTTACGAATACTGCTGCGCCCGCGGCACCAACATTGAATCCTTAGGCAGTATTTGGCTGGAGGACACGGTACATCCGGGATCCTTAAAGGCATGTATGGGGGCCACAAAGAGGTTCTGCCCGTGACCGTGTACGGTAGTGCCACTCCCGGCCCGATGTGCGAAAGAACGATCGGGATAGTAGTGGATCAGGCAACGAGACGGTCGAAGGGCCAACAGGGGATTCTCGTGCCGGGAACCTTGAAGAGCAAGTCTCAACATTACAAAGCGGACTACCGCGATATGCACCGCGAAGCGGTGATAGTCGGACAAAAAAGGAGATGTCCGGACGCCCGAGAAATAGGGGTGGCACAGCGGTCACTTCACCATCAAGGGCATCGGGCTTGCGGCCGATGCCGAACAACATTACATCTTCACAACAACATTATTTCTTCACAACTGTTCTGTTTATCATCAAATCACAGCTTTCCATCACAACAGTTGACTCTTCCGGTGCTTGATTACAGCGGTGACACACACACAAACCTCATGCCCCGATAGCACATCTTTTGGGCCTCACGCCCCGACAGCACACATTTTGGGCCGGCAGTGGGCGAAAATACTTGTGACACGCAAGAGCTTTGCTTGCAGGTGCCACGGTTGCCGCAATCTGATCCCATAACAGGTGACTTCGCAAGTGTAAGTGCGCTGTCGAGAGCATTTGCTGATGTTGTCTGGCTCACAGGTGCTTGGTGGTCCATTAGAGCTGTTTACTGCCAGATTCGCACAGCATTACCTGCATCATGCATCAGCAGTCCCAGCCTCGCTAGCACATGACGCCTCCTACAAGGATGATCGATGGGTGCATCCGTCAACAACATATGCCAGCACTACGCCACAATACTCCCCCCACCACCACCGCCGCCTCACAAGGACCCACGACCATTAACCATCCCGGCACACCTGCCTCCACCATTGGCCCCGGCCAGACACACCAAGTCAAACCTTCGACATCCAGCATCCCCACACCACCTACAGCACACAACGTCCCCGTGTCACCTCCACCAACAACACACAACACCCTCTCCGTGTCACCCCCACCAACAACAAACCCACAACATTCCCTCTAGACGTACCCCACGACTTTGTACAGTGGGACAACCGCCAGGTTTTTGGCTTAAACCTGCCGCGATACCTACAAGCCACACCGTACAGCACAAACAACCACGCCGCAGGACTACCGATTGCCACGGTGCCTCTCGTGGCCTTTTCGCGACACGGTTGGTCGTCGTATTGGCTCCGCTACGAGGTTCATGGCCATGACCAACATATCACATGCAGCAAGCACACCAATGCGGCCCAATGCGGCCGTCTTCGTCACAGAACTCCTCGCAATGTTGCGCAGCAAGCGTATCGATCTTGACCAAGTGGCCACAGCCTACCTTGGCGAGGAAGCCTGCCATGACCCAACTCGTGAAGGAACTTTGTCCTGTTCATGGACAAAGAAGCATCACAAGCAAACACTACCACAACAACAAACACGACAACAGCAGCTACCAGCACAACCCCAACGCCACCTGACAAGCAAGCGCAGGGAACCACATCCACCAGTGCTGTCAGCCAGGAGCCCGGCATCGCCGACGTTCATGCGGCCCATCACATCAGTGATCTTGAAGAAATTGGCTTCAGCGGGGGAGACGATTCAGCAAATGAATTGTCAACGCAAACGCAAATGTGCCGTGGAACCCAAAACATCCACTACACCAAACCGCGCATCAACCAATCGAGCATCGAGCCTCCGAGCTCCCCGATCACCCCCACACCAGTCACAGGCCGTAGTGAACCTTGACACCACACCGGAACCAGTGCATAAAGGAACGAAGAGAACCCCATCTCCTGGACATCCACCAACGACCTACAGCTCTCAGCTCCCTTGCACCGCAAATTTTGCCACAGCCCAAACAAGCCAGTGTATGGTTTCAAAAACAACTACACAGGCGTACACACGGACAGCGGCATCCTCCGATGGTTCGGCAGTCTCAAAACATCACAGACAAGCAGCGCAAGCATTGCAAGCAGTTTATGGAATCGGCCGCGCAGACCGTGCTCACAAAGCCTCTCGCAGTCGGCCGCAATGTCCTTCCGCCGCAAATCTTCAAAAGCGAGACGGCAGTCTTCTTACCCGGCCGGTGAGCGCCATGATTCCAACATGAGCGTAGCGAAACACCCATTCCCTCCAGGGTTTACGGGCCGGCCGCCACACGGCAGGCCCATCTTCCTGCCAAAGGCGTCTCTCCAAGACTTCAGCCAGCCGGTATTCACTGCTGATTTTCTCAGAGCTTCGCTCAGCTACCAACTGCCTCAGGCCGTCTTCTCGTCGCTGTTCCTCTCCCCACTGCACCCGTAGGTCCATCGACAGCCCCGGCGGGCTATATTCGCCAATTTCTTCCTGCGCTGCTTCTTAGTTAGTTCGCTCGGCGGAACCAGGTCTCCTACTCTCGCTCTCGAGCCCTCTTCAGCTGCCATCTCCGCTCTCAAAGGGCCCACTGATCTCCTAGGCTCTGGACGCCACAAGTCCAGAGGTACGGCCGCAGAGAGACGTGCTAACACTATCTTCTCCTGCGCTACCTTACGACTTACGTCCATGGAAAGAAGAACCCACTTCATAATTCACCCTTCTTCGGACTTCTCGAACCATGGACCGTGACACGTTTCCACGCTCGGGTCTCCTTCTACGCGCTCCCAATGCACCGTATGCACAGGAAAGTAATGCGTCAGGAAATGGAAGAGTAACGAGGACGTCTCCCTCGTCCGGTCTTCCCGTCCATCGAAAGTTCCCCTATCCCTTCCTACGTCGCTCAATGCGTCTAGGTGGTAGCTCAGCCTCTCCCAGTTCGCCTTCCAAGACTCATCCCCGACTGACCGCCGCCAGTCCTTGGCGTAGAGTGTGATCGGCCACTTAGGGTTAACAAAGGTCTTCACGTCCAGGACGGCCTTTCCTTCCAGGCCGTAAACCGAGACAACCCAGCCGGCTTCGGAAGAATCAAGATGTCACCTTCTTTCCAATGAACTGACGTCCGAACGAAGTTCCGAGGCTCTCCGAGGCAGCGGCTCCGGAGCTGAAAACAGCTCTCGGAGCCCGCTGACGGTCAGCTCGGGGATCTGAGGCTCCGGAGTAACCAACAGCGGCAAGTCAGTGACGGGACACGGTTCCAGGAGCTCGGGGCAAGCCTCAAGCAACAAGTCCCCACCGGGCTTCGCTGTTCCTAGCCTCGGCCTCTCCGCGACCAAGAGCTTCACGGCGCTCCAGCTCAAAGCGATATCCCGTCCTTGTTCCGCCTTCACATATCGGGCGAGCAGGACGCTTTCCACAGCCACTGGCTTGGCAAGAACCGCAACAACAGCTCCGCCCTGACCTTCGCCTGTCGCGAAAGCCGACTTGTGGAAGGCGACATCCCGCAAGACTTTCACTGCACTTGTAAAACGGTCTACTCGAGTCGCGTTGGCTAGCTTTCTTCCAGTCAGCTTCGCCTTGACGTTCTCTCCGAACGAGTCGCGCAAACGACGCATCAGGCTCGAAGTCATGGTCATCCGTTGTTCTGGTCTGCAGTAACCCCCGGCACACACCGTACCTTCAAGGTCGGAACGACTCCTGCTCCCTTCATCAGCTACGGCGACCTCTTCCTGCGCGTCAAGGGGTGATGGATGTTTTACTTTGGTTTTAGGGTTTTTCTCCACCTGCTGGACCGCGGTAGGAGAAGCTCGAGCGGCAGATGCTGCTGCTTCTAATTCTCCCTTCCGCTTCATCGTCCAGGTATTCCCAGCACGAGAACCCTCTCAGCTGGCCTACCAGACCTTCCAAGTCTCGAGTTCTTTGGGCTACAAGGGCATCTCGGCATCTCGATTCGCAGGATTTCTGGAGAGTCCATCTGCAAACTTGGCAGACCTCCCCGAAAGGGATCTGTGCTGAGTCCTGTGAGCTAGGAGTTCCGACAGCCAACGGAGGTGCTTGGACTCGATCTCCTCAGAGCCTTGCGACCTCGTCAGGTTAGCGTGGTCCGTCCAAAGGATGCTCTTCATCGGCCCTAGCATCCCCTTGATCGCGCGTCGGGTATCCAACTCACTGCGCGAAGCCTTCAAGGCCCACGCCTGTTGAGCAGGCTTAAGGCCTCGGCTCTGGGTTGCCAGGATACTAAACGCAGAGAGGCACTCCTTCATTTGAAGTGCAACCCCTCCCACAGCATACCCGCTCGAGTCACAGGGACTTGCTTCAAAGATCTCGATCCGTCAATCGCTGCCTCGTCAAGGCTTGGGAGCTCGACTGAGAGCTGACACATCAGCTTGATCGCCTTCATGGCTCGATCCCCTTCTGACGTCCCTGGCCCCGAGCCTTCCGGGGGAAACACACGAGTTCCCTCACACACTCGCCTAGTATCTTTGCACAGTGACCTTTTTCCCGAAAGCATCGCGAAGGGTTCTTCCGTGCAGAGCCCTTCAGAGAAGTACATAGGATCAAGTACACAGAGGATCAGGTACACAGAGCTAGTACACCGAGTGAAGTACATCGACTGAAGTGCATAGTATCGAGTGCACAGTACACTGGTGCATAGTACACAGAGTCAAGTGCATCGAGTCAAGTGCAAAGTACACAGAGTGAAGTGCATAGTACACAGAGTGAAGTAGATCAGAGTGAA